ACAGGGGACATGCAAATACGGGACGCGGGTCGATTACATTTTGGGATCACCTAAATTAAGCTACAATTTTGTGCCTGGATCTTACTCTGTCTTCTCCTCAAAAGGCACTTCTGATCACCATATAGTTAAAGTCGACATCGTGAAAGAATCCGATGAGGATAGGAAAAGTAAACCAATGCACGAGAAATTCAGCCAAAGTGTCGCGAGGCTAACTACGTCATGTGCTTATATAGATACCGCAAAAATAAGTTCGTGACATTTTATTTTTATCTTCCGGTTCGTGTTTATAGAGTATTAGGATGTTGGTTGGTTAGTTATGTGATGCTACAAGAAGTTGTTTACGTGTAATGATTGTTCATTTAGTATTCGGCATGCAAATGCCTTACATTATTCGTGTAAGTACTTCTCTATATGAATGTGGAAAGAAATTAAGAATCAGAGTTCTTAGAAGAAACTGAAGTATTTTAGTCTCAATTAACTTAAAAAGAGGTTCTCGTTCACATAATTACACTTCATTTGGAACTCAACAGTTTTTGTTTTTTTTTTTTTTTTGGTCAAACAAGAAACTGCAGTTTGTTTACAATGTGTTTATGCAGTGTACCACAAGTTAGATATAGATAAAATCATGTGTAGCTAGTTTGTTTTCCCTTTACAATTCAAATCACAGTATACAAGCTTTCTTCGATTTTATTAACTTTTGTTAAGTTCCATCATGTTCGTCTAATCTCTGTTATGTCTAAACGGATACCCAATCCCATGACGTTTATTCGGAAACAAAACGAAAATCGAACTCGAGACAGTCCCTAAAACCGAGGGCAAAACCATGAGCAGAACCTTCCGCGTAGACTCGAACGACGGGTAAAAGCACTCCACCGAGTTCGGATCCAAAAGGGCCAGCACAAGAAAAACAACCAGCGAGAAAAACGCGTGCACAAAGTCTCCGAGCACGAGCCTATAAATCGAAAGGTCTCGTTCGGAAGATGTTTTGGGCCAAAGCCCGTTTTTCGTGGCTATGCCATACTGCGTGTGCCCTTGCTCGTTCGTGTAGCTGTCGGTGAACGAGGCAAAGCAGCAAGAGAAAGCGCAGATTGCGATTAGTATAGCCGAGAAGCATTTGTTTGTGACATTGCAATGGCCATTGTTGGTTAAGAGAGGGTTTAGGAATTGGAACAAGAAAACGGTGCCGGTTGGAAGGAGCTTTATGAGGTTGCCGAGGCCCGAAAGGGTGGATTGGGTTCGGGTTCGGGCTTGGGTTGTTGGTTGTGGCGGTTCCGGAGATTTCGAAGATATATTTCCTTCCATCAATTTTTCTTTTTTTTTTTCTTTGGTTTTTGAAGTTTGGTTCTTTGAGGTTTGCAAGAAATGTTTGTGTGAGTCAAAAATGTGTGTGTGTTGTTTTTGTATTGAGTTTTATGGGGATTTATATAGTTGTGGGTTGGGGACGCTTACAAGTAAAATGGCATGAGTTTTTTAAGACAATAGGTTGGGATTATAGTTTGCTTTTGCTCTTTGAAATGTTGGCTTATTCTTTGCCTTGTGACAGAGTGGGCTTCAGATTTTCACTTTTAACTCTTCTATTTTCATTGTTTGGAGGAATAATGACATGTGTTCAAGAAATTGTACATATTTATGTAGTGTATTTATTTGTCTTTACCCATCAAACAAAGTAGTACTTCAAGTCATCAAACAAAGTAGAGCTTCAAGTGATATACAGATGTGGAACAGGAAGTGTGGGACCATTTTTCTGGAGGCTCAAATTTTAGGTTCAATTCAGTTCATTTGCCTGAGATTATAAGTCTGGTTCAAGATTTAAGTCTATTTGCCAAAGTAATGTCTAAAGAGAGTTTTCTACATCATATATGAAATATTTTTTCAATATATATGTATACTTTCATACTTACAAAAGCAACATAAATGAAAAGATGACATTCCACGTAGAAATATGATAGTTCGACAAAAAAGTATGACGGGACAAACAATATAAATGAAATTATCCCGTTCTACAGGACAGTTCGACAAAAAGTATGACGGGTTTACCTGACTATTAGACTGTCTCATAGCCTAATTTGTAACTTTTCATTTGTGTAGCCAGTCGACACCTAAATACCTTAAGATTGTAAAACCCTGATTGATTATAAATTATCTGGTCAAAAAATTCACTAGATAATTTTTAATTCAAAATCTAACTCAAATTTAACTCAATTATGATAAATATAATTAAATAATATCAATCAATCATCCTCACACTACACATGAACTGAAATTCACTATTCATCCGATCATATAATTTTAACTACTCATCACTTACAATCATTACTCTCCTACTTTTACGTCAAAATCAATTTTGCTCATTATATTTTAAATATTATTTTTAATACAAACTCAAAAATTCCGCTCAAACTTAACTCAATCAGTTTCTTTAAAAGTAAATTTGGTTATCCAATAATAATTTATATCCAATCATCAAGGAAGTGGTAAATTTTGATTGGGGCATGTTGTTACTTGATGACATTTGACAAATTCATTAGTGAGTTCAGAATCATTTATGACGAAATTCCTTGTTTGCAACTTCATCCCAAAAAAAAAAAAAAAACAACTTCATCACATTGGGCAAATCCAAACCCATCTGATAATCAGCTATAACTACTACTTCCCTCTGGATAGCCATTATCCATAGTGATTACTGTTTAGGCCAAGTTCCACAAGATATCATCCCAGTTAAAGCTTAAAACTTCTCTTACAGGAAACATAAGTCCTCTAAGCAAAATGAATCACACATTATGTCATGTCTGGATAATTTGAGTTTCATAAGATATCATAATTTGAGTTTCACAAGCACAAGGTATCTATATTTATGTCATGTTTACTGTAAAAGAGTAATCAGCCAAAGTAATAATAACAATAATTACACATACATCATTTGATTGAGATTACAGCTCAAGAACAAGAGCAGATGCACTATAAAAGTCTACACACAAACACATCTGAGCTATACATCCCAAAGCATATACAGTAACCTCCCTCAATTCCCAACCCACATTTTGCCCTTTCCTCTACAAAGGGTTGATTTTCAACCTACCCAAGATAAATGAAAGAGAGAGAGATAAAAAACCTAACTTTTACACATATTCGTTGTGAATTAGTAAGAAATTCACAAAATCAAGCTATAATTCGCACTTCGTTTCAGCTCAGGGACTCCCACAAACTTGAGTCGAATTTCACCCGAATTCCTGAAAAAAATATTCTACGGGTTGAAATCGAAGTTCGAGAATCATCAGAGCCCAGAAAAAGCGTGCTATTTTGCCTGAATTTTATACTGAAATCGTCATTCGAGGCGGAGCAATCGCCTCAAATCCCTGGTGGCGCCGTCGTTCGAGTCCTTCCGGCTGAAGAACGAAGGAAGGGGGACGGATCTGGGAGACGGTGACAGAGCAAACGCGGATCCGGCGTAGACGTCGGCCGGCGGCGGCGAGCGGATCTGCTTCCGACCCGGAAGATCGTTGGTGGATTTCCTCGGGGGAAGGCTAGGGTTTCCGCCGCCTGCGGTCGGTGGAGCGATCGAGCTCAGCGACTCGCCTCTCCTCAGAATAGTCACCTTTCCCATGGCGACCGGGGTTTCAGCTGGGGCTTCAACCCTCCGCCGCGAATTGGGGGCGCCGCCGTACCGATGGCTCGATTTCCTCGCCTCCGGCTTCGGGTGGGAGTTCTTCCCGTGCGGCTTGCGGGTAGTAGCAAAGTTACTCAAATTCCCCGCCGCCGCCGGCGATATTCTCCGGCGGTGGAACGGTGCCGGATGGACTCCGAACCTGTCGTGTAAAACGTCCTGGGGCCGTAAAACCTCCGTCGCCATCAAAATCTTTGGAAGAAAAAGAGTGTTTAGATGGATTACAACTGCAGAAAATCGAGATTTATGAGTAGAATTTCGATTTTCAGTGCTTTTTTTTTCTGTAAATTCTTCTTCTTACTCAGGCAATGAGATGATACTGAAGGAGATGATGAATTATATATAGCCTATAGGATGTTTAGAGAAAGAAAGTTAAAGAATTTAATTAAATAATTAAATTGCAGTTTTTTGTGGTGCGTTATATCTGGCACCAGCTTTTATTAACATTATTACTCACTTGTTATTATCCAATTTTATAATTTACTGAGATATTGTGCAGTCTAAAAATCCAATAGGCTAAAAAACAAGTGGTTTTACATATTAACTCACTTGTCATCATCCTATTATTTACCTTGCCATTGAATGTAATACTTTTTAAAAACATTATCTTGTTTGAAAATTTATCTCATGTGAAAAAAGTGAGATAAATTTATCTTGTTAGAAAAGAATGGAATAAATTTAAATTTTTTAATGAAATGTGGTTAGAAATATATAAATGGATGCAGTTTTGCTATGGAGTCATGTACACTTATTCACCAATAGTATATTGACACGTGTCCTACAATAAATACAATTTAGACATGTGTCAATACATTAAGTGGTGGATGACTCCATAAGAAAATCATCCGATGGCTCCATATAATTTTTGTAAATGGATGAATAGTTTGTATCAAAACATATAGTAACAATTGTTTTTTATATTTTAATTGTCTTATTGGAATGTATAAAAAAGTGAAATAAAATAAAATATTTTTGGTGCAATTTTTTAGTTTTATTTTCAGTTCTCACGTAAAAANTATCTGTATCCAGTACTTTTATTATTTGCTTCTGTGTTTTTGTTTCAATTTATTTGAAGGATAATATAAAGTTAGTGCATTTATTTATTTATTTGTGTTAAAAAATAATATTTTCGCGAGTGAAAAAAGGTGTGGACCAGATTCTACATTGTGACGCGTTGGGGAAATGATTAGGAAATAGCATTATTAAATATGTAAATTTAAAAATTAGAGACATAATAAATTAAATATGGCCGCCGTATTTGATTAAACTATTCCGGATTCTGACTAGACCGGGTGAGGGTCGACTCAGCGACTTACTGTTTGACTAACGGCGGATTTGGTGAATCCGTTAGTCCTTGACCGTTCAATTGAGTACGCGTGCAGCTACGGTGTAGCATACGTATACTATAGTTCAAATTAATTGCAAAAATGATACGATTTGGACTATTCAAAATGATACGATTTGGACTATTTCAAACTATTTTTCAATAATTGTACTTTATATTTTTTGTACAGAACAGGACATTTTCTAAACTATTACTTTTTATTTTTGTACAGTAAATATATTATCAGATATCAATAACATATCATAGAATATTTTTTGATATATATAGAGTAAAGTTTTGAATCCCGAACAATGATCCGGGCTAACCTTCGAGTCAACGAGTTATTGATCAATTGCTAGATCAATTGTAGAATCATATAATTAATTTTAACAAAACAAAAAATATATATTTTATGTTTTCTTAGGAATTGTGATTTAAAAAAAATAGGTTATAAGCAATATGTTTGTTGATATCAAGATAGAATATCTTGAAATAATGGTTAGATTAAAAGAATCGTGAAGTCTAAATCACAGATTGGATCTTGGGCGATGTAAAACAGAATATACAGCACCTCGGAAATATCATCTCGGTACTTACACGACGTTCTTATATGATGCTGTGAATAAATACAGCATATCTCCAAAGGTCGTCAGCACAAGTCGTTTTAACCTCGAAAAGACCATCTCGGTTAAAAGAACAACTTATCAGGAAGTCGTAGAAGACTGAAAGTTTATCAAAATACCGACGTTACAAAACGAGCCGACTTCAATCCGACAGATGTGACGCTTGTCACACATATAGAGGCGCGCCCATGCTCATCATTGCCTAAAAAGCTCGTCTACGTCATCGCCGCCCCTAAACTGTCAAATCTCCATTAAAACGAAGCTGATTTGCCTTGGGATGTGTGCCAAACATAACTATAAATAGCAACTTTGAAAACAATACGAGGATTCGGCAAATCTGATAAAAACACATATATTGAACTCGGTTTCTTCTTTGTTTACCGACTTGTTGAACATTGAAAAACCGACTTCCCGATTCTGTAACCGACTTCAAGAATTTAAATCGAAATCTCATTTTCTTCAATTTTTATTGTGATTTTTACTTTAATTACGTTGATTAAATCCGTTTATCAACAATGTTTATATAAGATAACTTTCACAAAGCTTAATTAATCAAAATTAGCTTAAGAAAACAAAATTATGTTTGTGCAAAGTAAAAATCATTTTATTCTATTGGTTGTCTATATATTAATTTCATTCTATTTGTAGTCATACTTTATTTAAGGCAATATGTTTTATCTTTTTGTGGAGCCTTAAATAGATATTTGATCTATTTATTTGGAACATGACTTTATTGCTAATTAACTCAAGAATTGTGTTCATTTTGTACGATTATATGCAGGAAACGCTGGTGAAGCCACCCACGAAGACCAAATTCTTGGGACGGCGTTAACTCTGACCTGTATTTTGAGTCGGATAACGGCGTTAGGTTAAAAACGACAAACAGTATTGTGAATCTTTATTATTTTGTGGGACCACAGATTATTCCAGTTGATTTTTATCTGAAATCATGTCCGTGGACCCGTGGCCTGTGTTTTGCTTTCATCTATGTGGGTCCATTTTTTTTATATAAATTAAGGTTAGAAAATCAATTATTGAAAAATAGAGATTTTTTACATCCTAATATCTGTTTGTGTTATATATATATTTTCACAAAATTCATGAGTGACAAATAAATGAACAATATAAATTATTTATTGAACAACTTTGTGTCTGCGGAAAAGTCATATAGACGTATCATATTGAATTCTAAATGAATATAATTATTTGTATTATCAATTCTTAGCATTATTGTAATTCAATAGAAAGATTCTAACAACATTCACTGCCTTACACTGTTACACACCAAAAATAGTTTAAAAATTGCGAAACAATCAATATATAGATGGGCAAGTTATTTTTTTGTTTTTCTTTNTGATATTCACAAATCACATCAGTTAATCTTGACTTGATTAAGATATGATAAATTTGATAGTAATATGAAGACCTTTCAAGTTAACTCATGTAATCAAAATTTAAAAAAAAAAACAAAAAAAAAACAAAAAAACATTGCAACCTCAACAATTATTGATTTGGTTAGGTGTTTTGTCATCAGGAAGACAACACCATTGATCTTGACGGGACAATCTTAATGTTGTGGTTGTCCAACTCCATTAAGAACTTGAATTTCAAGATTTCTTTGTCAGAATTAAGAACACCACTCAACTTTATTAATATCTTATTATACAATTTGTGATCTTCCTCGGTTCCTCCTCATCAACAAACCGGGTCAAAATAATTAGATCTCGATTTCTCTAATATCGGAATTAAACAATCGGGTCGAATCGTTGATCTCATCTCCTCTAATTGCTAGCAACTTTGCAAAAGCGCGCGTTGAGCTAAATATAATTTTAAAGTGCACTAAAATTACACTCAAAGGTTGAGTGACGCTTGAGTTTAAGGATTAGAATTAGTTGCAACATTTGCTTTTAACGTCTTTGATTTTGAGGTGTATTTGTGTTAACATTATGGGAGGATCCAAAAAAAAAGAGGGAAATTGAATAATTTTTAACTACATCACACATTCAAGCTCTCGCTATCATTCTCTTCCTCCTCTATATTATTTAAAAGATGTGGAATNTGGCTTGGTGAAAGAGGTAGAAGTGAGGGGATATCAACTTAACCAGCCAAGCTCGACTCGAAACTCAAAAATGTGGTTTTTTATATTCTATAGTTCGACTCGTTAAAGCTCGATGTTGATTCGAGCTCGACTTGTTAATGTTGGTAAATGAGTCAAACTCAACCTCAAGCTCAAATATAACCTCGTGAATTAAGTTAATGAACCAAACTCAGGGCTTGAGCTAGAGCTTGTTAACTAAACGAGCTTATAATTAAGATCTAGTTCGACTCATTTATCAATATTAGCGAGTCGAGTTTGAGTTCAAGTTCGACTCCGAAATGGAAATGACATGATGGATGGTTGAAGTCATTTAAGATAAAAAGTGTGTCATTGTAATATGCATGTTAATTTGTCTATAATCCCCATTGTTTTATGCTGTGGGTTAGAAATCACATGATTTTTTTATTGAAGTAAACTAATAGCCTGGGTATGTGTTTACTCCAATATTTTTAAATGTCCGGAAAAAAATGAGCGTGCATAAAATTTTAATAATTAAAAAGTTGTATACACATTGCATAAAGAAGTTAACAAGCAACCCAATATAACTAACAAATGATTTCTCAGCCCAACATCAACATCAAATGCCTTTAGTATTTGCATTCTTCCCTGATTCTATCTAAACTAGCACGATTCCCGTGCTATCCACGGTTGGAGATATTATTAGGGAGATTAGATACCATATAGTAACATCTTTCTAGTTCTTATATAAATAATTAAATATTTGTTTATTTTGGTTCTATTTTCTTTAATTAATACGAATCATGTGCTATGCAGGGGTAGGAGATATTTATTAATATATATAAATTAAAAATATACATTAAATAATATTTATAACTTAAAAATATGGAATCAATTGTAATACAATTCAAAGGGAAATTTTCATCTATCCTACAAGATTTCGATTTATTTGCGATTTTGCAGCAACTATAAATTTAATTACATATGTACCTAAAATTATTGAATTAATTAGAGATTTACTTTATTCCACTTACCATACAAAAACGTTGACCCGAGAGAAATTAAAATAAATAACTTACTCATTTCATTCCTTAATTCGCGCAACTAGAAACTTTTTAATTCACGCAATGGTATATATTGAGTATATGTTAATATATATTCAGTATATGTGGGCAGCTGGAATTCCTTATTTCACGCTGTTGTCAAGTGGTATATATTGGGTTTATGTTAGTATATATTCAATATATGTGCGCAACTATAATTCCTTGATTTGTATATATTGCGTTTATGTTAGTATATTTTCAGTATATTACGATGAAAAAAATGCCTTTGATCAAAAAATTATATCTTCCTCTTTTTTTTTTAATACATAAAAATATATATATAATTTAAAAACATATTGTAACAGATTATATAATATATATTATACATATACACAATAAAAAAAAAATTAATTTATGCTAAATATAAATTAATTTTATATATAAAAATTATGTCTCAATGTTTAGGAATGAGATACTCAATGTAAATAAATTAATGATCCACGGTTGGAGATATTATTAGGGAGATTAGATACCATATAGTAACATCTTTCTAGTTCTTATATAAATAATTAAATATTTGTTTATTTTGGTTCTATTTTCTTTAATTAATACGAATCATGTGCTATGCAGGGGTAGGAGATATTTATTAATATATATAAATTAAAAATATACATTAAATAATATTTATAACTTAAAAATATGGAATCAATTGTAATACAATTCACCTATATTACAATATAATTTCAAAATAAGTGTCATTTTAAAATTTTCATTCAGAAATTCAATTTAACTACAATGTAATTCCATAAAATAATAATTTTGATAAAATATTATGAATATTTAAACATCTATGTGAATAATAAGTACAGTTATAAAACTATAACTAAATTGAATTTATTTTGTATAAACTATCTAAATAGAAAAATTAAGTAGTTGAATAATTTATTAAATTATAAATAATTGATTATTCTATTTACGTCCAAGGTAATACTAACCCGTAAGTTATTAAGAATAATTTATTTGACTTTTAAATTTGGAAACCAAATTTAGACTACCCAATAAATTCTTTATACATATTATCTCTCAATTTTTTAAATTTTTTTTCGGTTACCTTATTGTTCAAATTTATCAACTAATTCTCTAAAATTAAATTACAAATTTTAAATTTTATTAACTAATATTTGTTCAAAAATCTTTCTGATATTCAAAAGGAATACAGATCAATTTAAAAAATTATCATCAAAATCGTGTTGGTTGATCAAATTTTTAAGGGAAATGATGTAAATATTGTATTATTTAAACCGTAAAGTTGTGAATTATTTGTAGAATAAATCAATTTGTAGTATATGAAATCCTCAATTTTTGGAATAAATCAATTCGTTTGGAATAAATCAATTCGTAGCTTTTGAGCCTACATTATATGGAATCCTCAATTTTTGAATTGTTATATTCTAAATAGTTTTATATTAAATAGCCACTATTGTGTGATTTTATGCATCATAACTGACTCATGAACCAATCTATCAAACGTGTTGGGGTGAATCAATGAAGATATTATTTAACAAAATCAGTTATTACTAATCACATTAATCGTAGTAGTTGGAATCCTCAATTTTAAAAAATATTTGAAGTGATATGTTTTTATCATGTTTAGGAAACTGGTGCATTCTTTAATTAAAAAAAAATCAATTTTAGACAGAAGGCCAATATAATCGGTTAAAAAAAAGGAAGTCAAATATATTGCTAAAATAAAAATATGTTTTCCAAATGAAAAGGAACTTGAATTTATCCGATATGGAAAGAATCTCATCCAAAACATATTGAACTCATCCAAAACATACTGAATTTCGGAATGAAAAAAATTCAAATTTTCGAAAAATTTTCAAACAAAATATTAGAGGGAAAAAAGTGATTTGAGCGGTAAAATGAAATAATTTTTTAAATATTTTTTCTTCTCTCTATTATATAGTAATAGATATGAATCATTAATGTTTCGGGCCATTTGACGGACCGCTGGGCAGGTGACCAACCAAGGATCTCGTTTTGACAAAATAAGCTAGGTCTGGCTAAATACAATCTCTTTGACTAATAATAATACGCTAGGCCCAGCCCAATTCACAACACTACGAGTCAATTAAAACAAGGGAAATTTTCATCTATCCTACAAGATTTCGATTTATTTGCGATTTTGCAGCAACTATAAATTTAATTACATATGTACCTAAAATTATTGAATTAATTAGAGATTTACTTTATTCCACTTACCATACAAAAACGTTGACCCGAGAGAAATTAAAATAAATAACTTACTCATTTCATTCCTTAATTCGCGCAACTAGAAACTTTTTAATTCACGCAATGGTATATATTGAGTATATGTTAATATATATTCAGTATATGTGGGCAGCTGGAATTCCTTATTTCACGCTGTTGTCAAGTGGTATATATTGGGTTTATGTTAGTATATATTCAATATATGTGCGCAACTATAATTCCTTGATTTGTATATATTGCGTTTATGTTAGTATATTTTCAGTATATTACGATGAAAAAAATGCCTTTGATCAAAAAATTATATCTTCCTCTTTTTTTTTTAATACATAAAAATATATATATAATTTAAAAACATATTATAACAGATTATATAATATATATTATACATATACACAATAAAAAAAAAATTAATTTATGCTAAATATAAATTAATTTTATATATAAAAATTATGTCTCAATGTTTAGCCATTCACGATCCTCGAAATCTCACACCGAAATCTCAAAAACGTGGCTGCTTCTTTCCACACCTAAATCTCAGCCATTCGGATTTCCCCTGTGAACACCCGAGACCACGTGGCGGCTTCTTTCCACACCCAAATCTCAAAAACAAAAGGTGCAGCAGGATCAATGTTCTTCAGCCATTTACAATCCTCGAAAACAACAGCAGCAAGCCACGCATCATACTCAACAGGATAAACAGTACCGTTATAAAGAGAAGGTTGTAGAAAGGGTTGAATTTCAAAGGGGCCGTGAAGGCAGAAAAATTGCTTCCACGAATCAAATCGGGTCTGAAGGATTAGGGTTGATTATTTTGAGTAGTTTTATAGGGAGATTTGATTGGATTTGGATAAGGATGAAGGTATATGTGCAAATATGTTACATGATTTTGTATCTTTGCAAATAAATATTAATTGAATGTAATTATGTAATATATAGTATATTTGATAGTATGGAGTGTAAATTCCTCTTAAAACAATGGGAAATTTTTATAGTATACATCCCACGCACTATAGTTAAAAAATATTGAAAATCTACCATTCATACACAATTAATTGTGCATATACCTAATAGATAATAATTAATTACATTGATGCCTAAAATGGTGCCAAACCTCCATTCCATATTTGATAGTAACAATCCCCTCAGAAAGTACCCAAAATTCCGTCATCTCCCTCGGCAAGAAGGAGAGCCACCAGTTTTCCAACGACGAGAAGGCTGTGCGCGTCGGCGATCCACGAGCATCAGAAACCTCAATTTCTGGCGATGAGATTCGAGCGCACCCAAGACGCACTAAATTCCAGCGAGTACCAAGAGCACCGGGCCATTCACGGCGAGGCAGACGCACTCCGACTGTAGCACTCAGCCGAGTTAGGCGGCGCCTGCTTCGTGTGCGGACCGTGGCCATAATAAATTATTTTATCTAATTAATATTGTTTTATTTAATTAATTGTTTATAATAAAAAAAGATTGCAAAAATTATATAACTGCAATCCATATAAAGTTAATAGTTATCAATATGTAAATTAATAGTTTATCGTTCATTTTTACTAATGATAAAATTTATAAAATGTGATATGCTATTATCTAACTTAAGATTTTAAATATTACATACATATATATATATATAACATATAAAATTTTATTTGCATCTGTGCATGTGCACATGATCGAATGCTAGTTAATTTCTTATTCTAAATCTCATGGAATATTGCACTTTTTTTTATTATTTAAACTCCCACGTGCAACCATAACAAAGCTTCCTTGGACAAATTTAGGTGGTGTGAGTGATCTACATCCTCTGTTAAATGTTGTGGTCCTTTGTCTTATCGAAAGGTCTTTATGAACCTTTAGCCACTCTTTAATGTATTGTACTTTCGGTTGGCAATATCAGGTTAATGGTAGTTGGACCAGAACAGTTATCTTTTACCATTTTAATTAAAATATTGATTTACAACTATTTCATACTATTAAATATTAGTTAAATTGGGAAACACATGCAATGAATTGGTAAATGTTATTTTTTTTTCTTTATGATTTTATATTTTTGTCAAGATTTTTATAAGAATCATGTTTTGTCCAAAATCCATCGATTTGGGTTAAGTCTGCTAAGCAATGATGACGTGGACGATGAATCTGTACCAGCAAGATTCCAAGGACCCAATAGCCAAGAATACATTAGCCAAACAGTGACGCCACACCGACTTCCAAGCCGATCTCTCCCTGAGCGCCGATCTCACTCCAAACCGTAGGGTGGTCAGACTAGCAAAGTCACCTCCCCACTTCAGACAGAGACAAACGCTTTATTCCCGCCGATATCTCAACTAAGATGCCGCATACAACTGGTACGCACCCCAAAAATAGATAAGTCACTTGAGCAAGTTGGACAAGTTGGGGGAGACACGCATCACTCAGCATGTTGTTAACCTATGAAAGTCCAGTACGTGTCAAGGAAATAACATATTTTAAAGGTCTCCTCCTTCTATAAATAGTAGACCCTCGACATTGAGAAGACCATTGAAAAATACATCAGGAAATAGGCATTGAATTCTCATCCGAAAATAGATCCCTCAAATCTCCAAAAATAGCAAACGCTCGGCTTTCCACATCTCTTTCCCAGTTATAAACGCCTCCAATAGGCCCTTATAGAAAAGAAGCACACATGAGTAGACCAAATGAAAGTTACCGGTGCATGCGCATCAATTCATCGACCATATTATCGTTTTTTATTTCTCTTTTCTTTTTTATTTTCTTTTTTAATCGCATTAAAACACTAAGCGCGCCATAAAATAACACACTACCGCTTTAGTAGTTGAGTTGGCGAAAACGAACGTCAACAAAATGGCGCTAGAGAAATGGCATGTCGTGTAGCTAAAAACATCAAAATGGTTCATGTTGCCATTCAATTGAACCCTCACATACCCCTTTTTATCTCGTTACTCGGCCTTAATGGAAGGGCGGCCTAGCCGACACCATCTCATAATCTCGTCACCTCTATCCTGATCAAGGCCGGCTCTGGGGTAGGGCGGGACGGGCGACAGGCCAGAGCCCCCTATTACCCCAGGGCCCATTTTTATATATATTTTTATTGTATGTATATATATATATATATATTAATTATATAATAAAATATTAAATATAAATTAATCTTAAATTCTAAATTTTTATCGTTTAAACAAATCTTTTCATTTTATCCACCTTATAAGTTTCATAAAAAATTTAAATAGTAGTTATTATTAGTGAAATTAAAAACTTTTTGCATATTTTCTCTTATTCTTTTAATGTTTTGTTAATTTTCTCATCTTGCTTGAATATACAAATGTTATTTTATATGCACAATTCAATTATGTTCGTGATAGTCAATAATAGAGTTAAGTGAAGTCAACTCATTTTCAAACGAGTTTCAATTTGGATTTGTTATTCAACTTTGTTAAATATAAAATAAAAACTAATATTTTCCAATAAAAAATTTATATAATTATGACTGAGTATTATGTATTTCACTAAACTTAAGTCATGTACTTAAGCAAAAGAAATTTTGGAGCTTTGATTGCTTGTTTTTTCTTTGAATAAAAATGAATTTCTCTTTTCTTTTCATTTGCGATTCTTAAAAAATTTCTCACATTTTATAAAATTTAGCTATATTTTTAAATTCACTGCTTCTAATATGGCGAGTTACACTATCTTTCTTTTATTAACTTAAAAAAATGAAAACAACTAAAAGCAACATTTATCACTTTTCGTCCAGGGCCTTATACGGCTCAGGACCTGCTCTGATCCTGATATAAGGGCGGCTTTGTCGACCTCCACACAATCTCTTTTTTTTCCTTTTACTCTGTCATACCCACAAATACACCTCTCACAAAAAACCGTCATACCGTGTTTTAGTGGCCAAGGTAAAACTCAATCCCTATATTAGTTCACCTTCAACAAAAACATAGATCAATTAGTTCACCCTCAACATGAACATTCTGAGGGTGGAGTATTCGATCAAAACATAACAACGCCTACAGAGTAGTCGAGCGATCTAAGGGAGGCTCAGCGAAGGTTTTCATTTAAAGAAAAACAAGAAGCTGCTTGAAAAGATGTGGAAAGAGCATTTGGAGTCCTGCAGTCTCGATGGGCAATGTGAGATGTCATGCTCGGTCTTTGTATAGAAGATAACTTAAATTTATTATGCTGACATGTATTATTCAACATAATATGATTATTGAAGATGAAGGGATGAAGTAACACATTAGTGCAATGACGAGGATGATGATGAAGGATCGTGTGTTACGTCTAGCTCAACTCGCTCAAAACTCGCGCCGAGAGGCCATCATGGACATCGTCCTCGGGCTCGCCAGGGTCAATGACCACATCTGCATCAGATGAAGACCCCGCACAACATTTCCAGGGCTCAAATCGAAAAATATTATCATATAAGTTCATAGATACGAGACAATACAATGCATTACCAACTTCGTGCAGACTTAGTTGAGCATATTTGTACTTATTAAGAATAGAATATAAAAATAATATTGAATGGGTGTGTAATGTGTATCATATGTTTTAAATGAATTAACCAATGTGGGTGTGTGTTTGATTGAAGAAATGTTTAGTGAATGATGATGTGAATATGATGTAGATAAGATAGAGTGTATTGTGTGATTAAATGAATGGAATGAATGTGGATTTCATTATACATGGTGATGCACTATATAAACATGTTACACTCGATCAATAAACGAGCCAAGGATCACACACAAAAAAATAAAAAAATAAAAATAAATAAATAAAGAAAGAAAAGAAAGCCCAAGCCAAGAACTTATATTTGTCACTAATTGTGCACTCACAACACAATGGTTGCAAAAAAAGCTATCTCCACATTACTAATAGTTTTTCTCCAACCAATATTCCTATAAGAAAAATGCTAGATTACCAACATAATGTACAATTAGGTTGACAACATAAGTGAAAACATCCAGTTATGTATTTTTTTATTTTTAGCTACCTCTTATAAAAGTACTCTAGTTAGCTACCTCTTTTATGTCCTCCCATACATGGATGGCAACTTGATAGGACACATAAAAAATATCGTCAAATTGTTTATGTCAAAATTTAGTTCTTTAAAGATTTAATTAATTGATGCGCAGTTTCCAAGATATCCAAGAACTCCAGCTAACTTCTTTTTGTCCTCGCGTAATACATTTTTTATGTCGTGATGCACTATATAAACAAGTTTATTTGATCACTATAATTGCCAAGGATCA